GTTACTTCGATTGAACACCAAATTCTCCTAACATACATATATACATACATACATACATACATACATACATACATACATAGGTTAATTGTTAATTGACCACTCTCCATAGGGGCTTTTCACCCACACTATCCCAACCAGGGGAGGACATCCACCACACAGTAATCTCGTGCGTGGGAAATTAACGTCTCCTACCCCTGACCCTGAAGGAGACGGGGCCTACGGTTTATTCATCCTTATCCGAGAAGACTAGAATATCTATCCATTTCTTGATATTATAGAAAGGTAGTAAATTCTCCTCACTTATTTTAAGACCATAAGTATTGGTCCGGCCGGGGCTCGAACCCTCGACCTCCCGCACAACGCAATCCGGCGCTCTAACCAATTGAGCTAACCGGGAGGCTAGCTGTACAAGGAAATGTATGGCAGCGAGAGAGGAGCATTATATTCGTAGTCAGATCTTGGGAGTTAATGGTAAATGCTGATTTGATGATACGATAACATGTGCACTGTTTCTAAATATCATTCTCAACATCAGATGATTCAGACCTTCAGACCATAAACGAAAGTTTGCCTGACAGCCTATTTTTATTTACCTGGCAGGCGATTCCGTCACTTATTCCCTATCTGGTGCCAAAAGCTCTGACTTTACCATCCAACCCGCCAGCGGAGTTGTCGCCCTTAACAACGCTTTGAACTACGAATCGTTCTCACTTTACTTACTCACCGTCACGGCCTCGGATGGTAACGGTTATGGCAACGGAAGCGTGACGTCAACATCTTTAACCGTTACGGTGACCAATCGGAATGACGCTCCAGTCTCTCTCAGCAACTCTTACTCGGCGACAATTGGAGAGGACGAACCTGGTGGAACAAATGTGTTGAAAACCGGCGCTTCCGACGAAGACGGACACAACATCTTGTTCAGCTTGTCAGGAAGTTCCGATTTCGATATTCTCAACTCGGGAATGATTCGTATCAAGTCGGGAGTGACTTTGGATTACGAGACGCAAGACAGTTACGGCCTGACTGTTGAGTTCTCCGACAGCACTGCTAACGTTTCCAAGTTTGTATCCATTACTGTGCTTGACAGAAATGATGCCCCGACACTTCCGAATTCTCCGTACTCCACGAGTGTTTCCGAAAATGTATCGATTGGTACGAGTGTCTTCGTCGTCAACGGGAGTGACCAGGATGGGGATTCGCTGGTGTATTCGTTGTCCGGAGCTGGTGCGACGCACTTTACGATTGACTCTAATACGGGAGCTGTAACGACTAGTCAGGCATTGAACTACGAAGATGCCGTTTCTCATTTCTTAAATGGTAAGTAGAACCGATTTCCAAGAGAACTTTGTTTGTGTGGAAAAGGATGCTGCTGTGCAGCTCGAAACCGGGACTCAGTCAAAACAACTTTAGTATTAACCAGCAAATTATATACCTTCCCCTGTGAATATATGCCATGTCGTTAAAAGTTTGCTATGATAAATGAATGGTTAGTCATTTCCTTACGATCAAGAGTTACTATTCGTTTTGCTATGCTGCCAGTCTTCGTCGGGTGATGAGGTTGAATCTGTCGAGGAAGACTGGCAGTAGAGCAGATGAAACGCCACGATACTCAATTGATGGCCTGAATCTTCAATTAATAGCGACTCCAAATCGTTAAACAAACGATTTATCATTCATTTTTCACAGATTCTGCGTCTCTACGATTCCGTTTTTTTACTTAGGTCCTACAGGCTTGAGACTGTGTAGATAATGTTCATGCTAATTTGTTTGATGCTATGTACTCCTGGTACAACTTTCATTGTAAAGTATTTATCGCTCATTTGTTCCTACCTCTTCCCCCCCCCCTCCCCCGTAGTACACGTTTCTGATGGAAAAGGCGGCCGCGTCTCCACCAGTCTCACCATCAGTGTCACTGATGCAAACGATGCCCCACAATTCCTTGGGGCGCCATACACGGCGGCCATTGATGAAGGGCTTTCAAGCGGATTGATCTTACTTACGGCGTCTGCAGTCGATGACGACAGCGGTGACACGCTGCAGTACAGTCTCTTGGGTACTAACAACGCTGACTTTGTGATATCAAACAGTTCTGGTGTTATAAGCACTGCAAAGAGCTTAAATTATGAAACTGTGACCTCATACGCCCTCACTGTATCAGTAGAGGACGGCAAAACATCTGTAACAACTTCCTTGACAATCACCGTAAATGACAAAAACGATGCACCCGTGTTCAGGAACGCGTCTTATGCGACGGCGGTCGATGAAAACGACCTAAGCGCACCTGTTTTCACTGTGAGTGCAACAGACCAGGATAGTTCTGACAGCTTGTGGTACATTTTCTCTGGCTCAGTGTCGGCTGATTTCGTTTTAGACTCTTCCACAGGACTCATAACACTGTCTCGCCCCCTCAACTATGAATCAACACCTTCGTATTCTTTATCAATCCTTGTGCTGGATGGCAACGGGGAAAGCTCGTCAACGAATCTTCAAGTAACAGTGAACGACTTGAACGAATCGCCGAGATTTGTTGCAACACCATATAGTGTGAGTATTGATGAAAATCTTCAAGCAGGATTCCATGTTGTGCAAGTGATTGCGACTGATGAGGACAGCGGTGATTCCCTGACATATTTTCTATCCGGAGAAGACAGCAGTCACTTTGAAATTAACCCGCTCACAGGCTTGGTGACTACAACACAACCGCTAGACAGGGAGACCGTGGGCTCCTATGCGTTTTTAATCAATGTAACAGACGGCATAACGTCTGTCACCGAGCCACTGTTAATCACCGTTCTTGACAAGAATGACGTGCCTTCTTTCACCGCGGGAACATACACGACCAGCGTGGTCGAAAACGACGCAACTGCCTCTGTTTACACGATTAACGCAACTGATCAAGATAGTGGCGATTCTTTGACGTTTACTCTAACTGGATCTGGAAGTGCGGACTTTTCACTTAACCCTATGACGGGCGTGGTCACTTTGACACGTGCTCTGGATTTTGAGGCCACACCTGTGTATTACTTCACTGTCACCGCCAGTGATTCGAATGGAGGTGTGGCCACTAAAAGCCTTAACGTAACAGTTGTCAATCAGAACGACATGCCCCAGTTTGAAGGTGCACCATACAGTGTCAACATCGATGAAAATCTTCTTGCAGGAACAACTGTTATAAAGGTACAAGCGAGCGATGAAGATGCTTCAGACACTCTGAGCTACAGCTTATCTGGAACCAACAGCAATCATTTTAGCATAAGCTCAAGCACCGGAGTATTGACCACAGCACAAGCGCTTGACAGAGAAAATATCAGTTCTTATTTATTGGACTTGTCAGTATCAGATGGCAACGTGACTGTTTTTGAACGGATAACTATCAACGTGGATAACGCAAACGACGCTCCAACGTTTTCTAACGCGCCTTATAACGTCAGCGTGGACGAAAATGTGGACAGTGGAAATTTATTTACTGTAAGTGCCACAGACGAGGACGGCGATGCCATTTTGTTCACCTTAGATGGGGTAGGTAGTGAGTTATTTTCAGTGCATTCCAGTAGTGGAGTCGTGTCTTTGGTTGAAGCTCTTGATTACGAATCTGTCAGCGGTTACACGCTAACGATCCGGGCTAGTGACAGTTATGGTGGAGTAGCAGTTACGTCAGTCTATGTTAAGGTTGTCGATCGAAATGATGGCCCCGCCTTTGTTGGTACGCCTTATATAGCGAGCGTGAATGAGAACGTTGCAATTGGCATCACTGTGATAGATCTGATGGCAACTGACCAAGACGGCGATGCTTTGACGTTCAGTTTGACTGGAAGTGATGACTTTAACATTGGAACATCCAACGGAATTATAACAACCAACCAGGTATATATTCCATTATGAAACGTATTCTTGATCATGCGTTAAAGCAAAAGTGTAAAGTGGAGTGGTTTATTATGTTTAGTTCATTCTGTCCAGCGTATTTTGATCGAATGTCGGGAAATCAGACACGGCGTTCATCACAGCCAGTTAGAAATATAAATATATCATGAGAGGCTAATGATAACTTTAAAGGAACAGATGTAAACGTACGTTTGCGTGGGTAAACGCCGGTGACCATTAAGCTGCCTGGCTTCAGTTTTCTTGATTGTTTTGATGAGAGGTTTGCGAGTTTTGAAACTCGGAAGAGTGTAATGTAGAAAAAAACGCAATTCCTGATAATTTTACCACTAAAATAAGAACTGCTCCACAGAATTTTTGTAAGCAAACCTGGAAATTGAATTTGGGTTCTTTTTTTTTAAGTCTCCACTCAAAATATTGGGTGAACGATGCTTCCCATTACGGTCAAAGGTCAAATTTGTTTGATATTGTATTCCTTTATACTGGTTGATATCATTGGAGTCAGAAGTCTCATATCTATTCGGCCAACCACCTTCTCAAACCGAAATCGATCAGATGTGGACTCGTGCTCTTTCCAGCGTTTTGCCTGTACCTGTTGCATGTTCTTTCTTTTGGTAGCTTTGCATAGGTTTGTGTTTGTCATATCTTGATATCAGGTCCTGGATCATGAAACAAACAGCTCTTACTCCCTGATTGTGCGTGTTTCTGATGGCCCGACGACAGTTTCTCAGCCGCTGACCATTAGCATCCGGGACGTGAATGACCCTCCATTATTTAGTGGTGCGCCCTATGCCGTGAGCGTGAATGAAAACGAGGCTGTAAGCGCAGTTTATACAGTCAGTGCCACAGATCAAGATGCTGGTAAGTGTGCTGAGGAAGATGATACTTCTAGTTTATTATCTCTTGTGAGGAGTCATTGTGCTTACAGGTTTTTTCTTTTGTGGTAAAAAAGGAGGCTCTTTGTCTTAGTAATGACAGACGCAACTTTTCTGTTGAAGAGTGACAGTGCACATTGATTTGGAATACGCCAAAGGTGTATGTCTAATTGCTTCCCAGTTAAGGAAGAGTGTTTGTTGATTCACTGGCGAGGACTTCTAGACTTTTCTTTGATAACTTATAGCATTATACCAAAGTGGCGAGATAAATTCAAAATTAATCTTAGAGCACGAGAATTCTTGTCTTGTTGTTTATGTAGAAAAAAATTCAACTAAAAACATCTAGCGTGTGAGGTTGGGGCTGGGGGACGAAGTAATAATATTTTCCTCCCGGCTTAAGAGTCGTCATCAGTAGAGAGCTCACGATTATTTGAATTTAAGATTTTGAAATAATTTCCCTTTTTTTTATTTAGGTGATTCAGTTACATTTCTGCTGGCTGGTCCAGGAAGCGCCGACTTCTTCATTCATCCAAACAGCGGTGTGGTATCATTAAATCAGGCGCTAGACTACGAATCACTTCCATTCTACTTGTTAACAGTAATTGCTTCCGACACAAATGGCGGTATGGTTCAAACTACACTCAATGTGACAGTTGTCGATCAAAATGACTCGCCTGCCTTCGTTGGTCTTCCATTTTCAGCACAAATTAATGAAAATCAAGTCAGCGGCTCCTTCGTGTTGAAGCTTACTGCGACTGATCAAGACGCAGGTGATTCGCTGACCTTCAGTATCGAGGGTTCAAATTCTGACCACTTCGCTGTATCTTCAAATGGACACATCACAACTACAAAAGTTTTAGACTTTGAGTCTGTCAACACTTACTCTCTGAATATTTCTGTTTCTGACGGTAAGAAAGATGTAAAGAAAGCTCTAATCATCACTGTCCGTGACACAAATGATTCGCCAGTATTTGTTAATTCGCCTTATGCCGTCACTTTATCTGAAAACAATGCTAGCGCTGTCGTGAGCGCAGTCAGTGTGATCGATGAGGACAGCGGTGATACACTGACATTTTTCCTATCAGGGGAGGGCAGCGGTGATTTTTCTATCTTGTCATCCACAGGGTTAGTTTCACTGAACAGGGCGTTAGACTACGAGAGTAAGTCTAGTTACGTGTTAACCGTTACTGTGCGTGATGGATATGGAGGTCAAGCCACTTCTTCTTTTATTGTTACGGTATCTGACGAGAATGACGCTCCCAGTTTTATTGGGACTCCATACAGCGTGTCACTCGATGAAGATGTACTCGCAGGGACCATAGTGTTGCAAGCTTCTGCAGTAGATGAAGATTCTTCGGATATCGTAGAATACAGCTTTTCTGGTGAAAACAGCACAGATTTCAGCATTGCTACAAAAAGTGGCATCATCACAACAGCTGTTACTCTTGATTTTGAGTTAATTAGCTCTTATTCCTTAACAGTTTCTGTTACGGATGGAACAGCGTCAGTCTCTCAAGTGATCACTATTAGTATCACAGATAAAAATGACGCACCCACCTTTGTTGCGGCGCCTTATTCAGTCACAGTCGCAGAAAACACCACCACCAGTACACTGTTCACGGTAAGCGCCACTGACCAAGATACTGCAGACAGCTTGAACTTTCTTCTCCTGGGATCTGGTAGTGAATTGTTTTCAATGCACCCAACATCAGGAGTATTGGCGTTAACTACAGCATTGGATTTCGAGGTGACATCACTGTACACTTTAACTGTCTTTTTAGCTGATAATAATGGCGCAGTCACGACCACATCATTATCTGTTTCTGTCTCGGATGTCAATGATTCTCCCTTGTTTCTTGGTACACCTTATACAGCGACCATCAGTGAGAATCTCCCAAGCGGAAGTGACGTCATAAAGATTGCTGCAAATGATGCAGACGGTGACGTATTGAGTTATAGTTTATCAGGAAAAAACAACGGAAGCTTCATGATATTGTCCCCTTCCGGCTTGATTGAAACTACAAAGGAGCTGGACTTTGAGGCAGTCAGTTCTTACTCTCTGACTGTGAGCGTGAGTGATGGAAAAATCAGCATCTCCACGGCTCTTACCATCTCCGTCATAGACGTAAACGATGCACCGTACGTAACTAATCTACCCACCAACATCAGTTTGTTTGAGAATGACGTCACGGTTCCCGTGATTGACGTCAATGCAACAGACCCTGACGGTGACAACATAACCTTTAGCTTAAGTGGAAGTAGGAGTGATGACTTTAACATTAATCCGGCAACAGGACGTATGACCTTAACCAAGCCGCTGAACTTTGAATCACAGGCGCTTTATTCGTTGACAGTGAGAGTGTCTGATGGGATAGGAGGCGTGGCTGTAGCGTCACTCACCGTCATTGTAGTCAATCAAAACGACCTACCTGTCATCCTCGGCGCACCGTTCACAACAAGCATCGACGAGAATTTGAATGGCGGAATTGCGGTCTATAAAGTCGTTGTCACGGACGAAGATACTGAAGATTCTTGTATTTTCAGTTTGTCAGGAACAAACAGTAACCATTTTGCGATTTCTGCCGCTGGTGTTATTACAACTGCTCAGAAGATAGATTTCGAGGCATTTTCGTCGTATACCCTCACCACAACTGTCTTTGACGGTACAGAAACTGTCAACACAACATTAACAATCACTGTCGTGGATAGAAATGACCCGCCCCAGATCGTCAACGCTCCGTACACAGTCACTGTCGATGAGAACGATGCGAGTGCTACATTGGTCAATGTTACTGCGATGGACATGGACAGTGGTAAGTCTCATATTCCAATCAACAAACTTATAGGGCGTTTTTCCATAGAGTCGCGTGAAAGCCAAACCAAAGAATTTGTGACGGCCAATCAGAATAGCGAAAAATATCTTTAGGAGCCAATGAGAACTCAAAATAAAATTAACCAAAGTGCCTAAAGTGCGGGAAAACGAGGGCGAACAAATCGTGATTGGTTAAAGTTATGGAGAGTGAGTCTTTTGGACCAATCACAGAGCGAAGTGAAGTAAAACCAATGCAATCTCGCATTACTTTCAACCCTCACCTAAAAGTTGCTTTTAACTGTGATAAAGGGTAATTTAACATAGCTTTCCTGATGACATGGCTTGCTTTCGACGCTAGATCAAAACTTTCTTTGATACCCAAATAAAAACTGATGGCCCTTCCTCTATTGACGAAATCGAACCTTATGCCAAAGCACTGATCGTTTTTCTGTGTGCAATTTCCTTAGGTCCACCCGACACTCTAACGTTTTCTTTGTATGGTGCTGGTAGTAGCTACTTATCAATTCACCCAAACACAGGAGTGGTAAGCCTCTCACAAGCTTTAGACTTTGAACAATTCCCCCAGATTGTAACGACAGTGGAGGTCAGGGATGGCCGCGGGGGATTGGCCACGACCAGTTTGACCGTTGATGTAAATGATAGAAACGATGCGCCTGTATTCCAGGGAACCCCGTTCAGCACTGTTGTCAGTGAAAATGTCCCGGATGGTTCAACTGTGCTCCAAATCACAGCTTATGATCAAGATAGCAACGATACTCTCACTTACACACTATCGGGTGCCAACAGCTCTTATTTCCAGATGTCTTCTTTGACAGGTCTGATACTGACCGCGCGAGAACTGGATTACGAAGTTCTGAATTATTTCTTTCTTACTGTAAGTGTTAGTGATGGGAGGACGACAGCTACGCAACCGCTGACCATTACGATCACAGACAAGAACGATTTACCCATGTTCTCAGACGCCCCTTACTCAGTGCAAATTAACGAAAATTTTATCTACAGCTCCATTGTCTTGGCAAATGCCACGGACCCTGATAACGACACGTTACGTTTCACGCTTTCAGGATCACGAAGCTCTCAGTTCACGATTCACCCATTGACTGGTTTAGTCTCCATAACCGAAGCCCTGAACTTTGAAGAAGCTGCCATGTACGTGTTAACACTAACTGTGTCAGATGGAAAAGGTGGAGTGAACGACACCACTCTCACCGTCGAAGTCGTCGATCATAATGATCCCCCTACCTTCGTCAACACTCCATTTAGCGCAGCAATCGACGAGAACATCGACATCGGAACAATAATTAGCCAAGCGTCAGCTACCGACGAAGATAACAACACTACTCTCACGTATTCGCTCTCGGGAGCTAATAGCTCGGTTTTTGCGATTTCCACCACAGGCATCATATCTACGGTGGAAGAGATCGACTTTGAAAGCTGCAGTTTGTACTCATTGACTCTCTGGGTGGGGGACGGTGCCACAACAGTTAGCTCTCCTCTGACGGTGACCGTCAATGACATCAATGATATACCAGTGTTTACCAACGCGTTCTACTCTTTAGCACTGAAGGAAGGAACTGGTGCATCAGTCAGCATTTTGCAAGTCTCCGCGAGCGATCAAGACGGAGAGAATATTGCATACTCCTTTGTAGGAATCACCAGCACAGATTTTACCATAAACAGTGCAAATGGTGTCGTAGCGACATCTGTCGTTCTGGATTACGAGAAAACACCGTCCTACGTCCTTAACGTGCAAGCGAATGATGGAAACGGCGGAAAGACCTTGTCCAATGTCATAGTGAATGTTATAGACCTTAATGATGAGACGCCACTGTTCAATAGTGCCTCTTACAACGGTCACGTTACGGAAAACGTTTTAATTGGCTCCTCTGTTATGACAGTGACTGCGTCAGACAGAGACACCGCTGACAGCTCGCTGGCTTATGCACTGTCAGGAGCAAACAGTTCTCACTTTACTGTTACAAGTAACGGTTTGATACAAACAGGAAGAGACATAGACTACGAAAGTATTCAAGGTTATTCGCTTACTTTAACGGCCACAGACAACGCAAACAACACAGGCACTACTGTTATATCAATTACAGTGGTGAATGTGAATGATAATGATCCGATTTTCAGCGCTGCAACTCTCAATGTTGACGTGTCGGAAGGCAGTGCTCCTAGTACGAGTGTTGCCAGGGTAACGGCGACTGACGGAGATCTTGATGACATAATATCATACGCACTGTCAGGTAAAATATCTTTTGCATATTATCAGAATCCTGTGATATTTATACATTCAGCTGTTTTGAAAACGGGCACCTTTAAATAAGTCGCTGAGTTGTTTTTGTGTTTATCGCTGCCTTAATGCTGTTAATTATAACCATTACTATTTCCTCGAATGTGATTGTTGCATGAGCTGCCTTGTTTTTCGTTAAAGATTCTGTATACCTATGATCGGACAGTGTTATCAGACAGATGGTTGAAATCGGACATCTGTAATCGGATATTTATATCCAATAATCACTTTGGTCGATTGGTTGCAAATTAAGCAACTTGAAAGAAGCCAAGCTTGCACTCAAAGACGTGCATACTTTTAAAAACACAATCATATGTTAACTTTAATGTTACTTAATCTATCCTGACATAGGGGCCGACAGTATCCACTTCACCGTTAATGAAAACACAGGAGTTGTCTCCACTACGGCGCCTCTGGATCGTGAATCCCAAGATCTTTATTCCTTTACACTCACCGTCACGGATTCTGGGGGCCTTTCCTCATTGGCTACAATTAACGTCACAGTTAATGACGTAAACGATAACAATCCCGTATGTGCAACGGCTGTCTATGCTGCTTCAGTGGCAGAAAACGAAGCTGTTGGTTCTTCATTGGTAACAGTATCGTGCTCTGACCTGGATGTGGGCTCGAACGGAGAGGTTTGTAACTGATTCTAGTTGACTGGATGAGAGGGTCGCACGAGAAAAAAATTTTACTTGAGGTCATGACATATGGACTGAGCACAGAATTTCATCAATTTGACTCTCCTCTTTCTCCTTTTTCTCCTTCCTTCTTGCACTTTTCCAAACGGGTCATGTAACATGGTCGCCACAGGTCAGGAAAGAGTCAGAGGAAAATAAATTTTATCTCTAAGGTGTTATCTCTTTTTTCTGTATGTACTCATGTTCATTGTTTAGCACAGTTAAACAGATTGCTAACTCGCATAATGATATCCTTTCTCTTCGCTATGCAAGTTCAAGTTAGTTGGTGAATGAAATCTTACATTTTCTTTTTCTTCCATTTTCATTGCTTCCCAACATTTTAATTTCCTCGGTAAATTTTAACTTTGTTTGGGAAAAGTTGGGAAATTTCAAGAACCTATCATTGTGGCAACCAGAGAATTTTGATTTACACACCTATGTTGTTAAAACTCTCTTACCTTTTTCAAAAACAGCAATGTTACAAAGCAGTTTTGTTCTTCTCACTCTTCAGGTGACTTACAGTATTTTGTCTGGAGATGGCGGAGTCTTTGCAGTTAACTCTTCAACTGGAGTGGTAACCATCAGTTCTCCTCTAGATCATGAGTCCGCACAAGAATACTTAGTAACCTTACAGGCCACAGACGCAGGTTCACCACCGCTGTCATCCACTACCACAGTTATCTTAACGATAACAGGAGTCAATGAATTTACTCCCCACTTCATCCCTAACAACTCCTTCGCATTCACAGCCGCAGAGAGCCTGGCATTAGGACATGATATCATTACTGTGTCGGCCAATGACGCAGATGCCGGTTCACAAGGCGAGGTTACCTACACCATAAGTGGAGGAGATACATACGGGAATTTCGTGATCGATAGACACAGTGGAGTCATCGAATTGGTTTCTAGCTTGGATCACGAGGTTAGTTCTCAGATCACTCTGACAGTGACCGCCACGGACGGAGATTCAGGGAGTCCGCTTTTTACCCAGGCCACCGTGACAGTGAATGTGGTCGACGTCAATGACAATCACCCAGAATGCCTTCCGACATTGCTAGCGCCCGCAGTACTTGAGTCAGCTGTTACTGGTGATGTTGTGGCCACCCTGAATTGCAGCGATCAAGACAGTGGAAGCAATGGACAGTTAAGTTACACTATCTCGACGGGAAACTCAGATGGTAAGATTACGGAATAACAAGGGGTTATGCAAACGTCTTAAAGCTCTTCAAAACTCTTCCATCAAAGAATTGAAGTCATCTTTGCAATTCATTCAAGCTCACAGATAATTTTTTAGCGTATTGAAGATGTTTTTGTTAGGTCTATAACGAAACTGTTTCATCGTTAAGACAATTTATCATGATATTTGAAGTGTGAAGTAAATTTTCGCTTTCCTTTATCCTTTAGGAAAATTCAATATTTCAAGTAGTGGAGAAGTGAGTGTGACAGATACTCTGGATTACGAGACAGTTAAGTCGTACCACCTGTCGATCACTGTGACTGATGGAGGTGTCACTCCTATGTCAACTGAGGTTTCTGTCACGATATCTGTGTCACCTGTCAACGAGTATGCCCCAGTATTTACAAGCAGTGGCATGTACTTGGTCTCAGTTCCCGAAGATATAAGCCTTGGCACGGAGGTTATCCGGGTTACAGCAAACGATGGAGATGACTCTAGGCATGCGCATGGAAGACTGATTTACTCGCTCATTTCCGGAAATACTGGTTTCTTTTTCCACATATCTGCTTACAATGGGGCGATACAGCTCGTGAGGAGCTTGGATCGAGAAGTGGAGTCATCCTACGTCCTTATAGTCAAGGCTTCTGATGGAGAAAATCACGTGAATGCTACAGTGTCAATCACTGTCGTAGACTCCAACGACAACCAACCAATTTGTAGCCCTTCCTCTTATAGTGCTGCAATCAGGGAAGATGTGGGATTGGGAACTAGTGTGTTGACTGTCACATGCTCTGATGATGATGAGGGGGTTAACGGCCTGTTGGTCTACAGGTGATGTTTTATCACGTGTTAACTTATCCACGCATGTACTTATTGACTGAGTGGGAGAACCGCACAAGAAAATGTTCTTACTTGTTACCTCTCGTACCTCGTGTCCGAGAACCAAATATTTCCCATCTGGGGGCTCCGGTAACTTGACGGGCCCATAAAGCTGTTCTGTTTTCCTTCAAGATGGGGTTTCAAAAGTTCTGAAATTCTTGCTATAAAACTATCAGCTAAGAAGACAAAGTGGATTGGTTAGGGTGCCACAACCTGCTTCTCCAATCTTTAGATTTTTATTTCAAAATATGGCCTCGAGCCCGCTAAGTTGATGGAACTTTCAAGAAAGGGGCTTCTGGCTCGACCTAACTTAGTTAATAAGCATCTCACGAGGCAACACAGCTTTACCAGCCCTGCTTAAGCTATCGCGTACGGGGAGTGTTGTTTAATATTTATCAAAAGAAGCGCTCTGAACGGGTCATATAATGATACCAATTATTTTCTTCCTAACTGTCATTCAAAAATGATTTGATTTGCTTTTCATAGTTGGCTTTGGTAAGCTTATGTCCTTTTTCTAGTCGATGATTTGCTTTCCAGCTCTCCAAGGAGTTTAAAATGTCAACTGAGAGGTGAACAATTTGGTTCTTTGTATCGTTATAGTATCATATCCGGAAACACCAACAACAGCTTTACCATAAACTCCAACGGCACCCTATCTACAGCTGCGTGGTTAGATTACGAGACCATGCCCGCTTTCACGCTGTCAGTCCGCGCTCGTGACTCGAGCAGTCCGTCATCCTCTCAAAAAGCTACTGTTATGGAAATAAGTCTTGATGTCACTGCAGTGAATGAGCACAAGCCCCTGTTTGACTTTGCTCAATATACTACGAGTATAACTGAAAAAACGGCCGTGGGAACCTCAATTATTAGATCCACGGCTAGGGATCAAGATTACGGACCGCAAGGTAAACCTTAGGCCGATTATTTAAACAGAGTTTAGCCGTTATTTAACAAAACCGCGCCCTAAGCTGCAGTGGACCTTTTATCTGAACTCTGATTTATTTTTGTGAAGTGTCAAGAGAGCCGTAAGCCAACAGTGCACAGAGATTTATTTGACTAAATGAACTTTCATAGAATGTGAAAACCCGAGTTCTACTGATTTTGTAAAACCGTGGTTTGGGTTAGACCTCGTATAAATAACCGGTCCTATGTCTCGTAAAAAGATCTATGCAGTGATGGCATATGGTATTTGGGTCGTCGAAAACTAACTTCAACTAAGGAAACAACAAAATACTAGTTTAGTAAGATAGAGAAACACAAGAGTGTCATTAATGATTCAAGAAGGAGCCAGAGCGGCTGAGGATGGATAGGATTGATACGGATTGCAAATGACAAAATTATATTATAATATAACCAAAGTAAAGCGCGCGCTCTGATTGGTCAATTTAGCGTCCCCCATTTACCCATGGGTGTACGCTGCTGACGTGAGCAAATGCAAAGATTATTTTTACGCGCGCGCTTGTTTTTTCTGGTCGCGTAAGATTTGTTAAATAAAAGGGAACTCTTTAGCTACAATGTATCATTGTTATGTTATAAAACAAATGGTAAACACCACAGCGTACACTAATGAGTTATGGATACACTTGGGAGGTTTGCTAAGCACTCAAGAAGCTAGAGTCGCTCTCGGCTATCGCCTCGAGCGACTCTTACGCTTCTTTCGTGCTTAGCAACCTCCCGCCTGCATCCATAACTCAATAGTGTACGCTGTGGCGTTTACCATTTGTTAAATGCAATCTCGGGCAACAATCGTTAAATGTTCGTGAAACAAACTGTTCCAAAAGACCGCTAAATTGATTTCGATTGGTTCCGATGTTATTCTTTTGATACTTATTTCCGTTCGTGAACCTAGATGATGCCAAAGTGACTACTCCGTTTGCGCAGTAGTCACAAACATTAACTTAAAACACTATTTCATGATGTAAGAGAGATTGTATGCCTGACCGTGGGGAAACAGGCTGAATGCATACGCAGTTTTATAATGACTTTTTATGACATTTCTCAATGCTGCAATTTTAGGGGACGTGAGTTACTCGATGACACCGCCATCAGCTCCGTTCTATATTGACTCTAACAGTGGTGTGATCCGTGTGAAGACCAGCTTGGACAGGGAGACTGTTGATATCTACATCTTGACTGTGACAGCTAGTGACAAGGACCCCAACATAGGCGACCGTAAATCATCCTCGGTGAATGTGACTGTTACTTTGACTGATGTAAATGACAATGATCCTGTATTTTCTCCTGATCATTATAAAGTAAGTCTTTGCTCAGAGATAATTTATCTTGGTCCTTTCCAATTTCATGAAATACAGGGTTTTCTAACTCGTATGAATGAAAGATTTGTCCCAGTTTCTGTCGCGTGAGGCAGCTGGTTGATTCTTCGTTTAACTGAGAATCATCCTTTGCTACAGGTTGAATTTTATGAAAATACCACAGCCGGCTCCAGTATCACTCAACTGCAATGCACCGATCAGGACCTTGGCACTAACTCAGTCCTTGTGTACAGCATAACAGATGGTGACCCAGATGGCTTCTTCAACATATCTTCCAGCACTGGTCGAATCTCCTCAGCTAAACACCTCGACTTTGAAGACGTCCAATCATATTCCTTGACTGTTGAGGCACGTGATAGTAGTTCACCAATCAGCTCGCAACACGCGTCTCTATCTCATGTTGACGTCGTAGTGACTCCACTAAATGAACACACGCCTGTGTTTAGTCAGTCGTCGTATGATGTCACCATCTCGGAAAATACGGCGATTGGAGCTTCAATTCTGTCCGTGATTGCCACTGATAGTGATTCTGGCTCACAAGGAGAGCTGACGTTTGCATTGTCCAGCGGCTCACCATTTGGCATTGACGAGGTCAGCGGCGTCGTAAGGTTACAACAGGAGTTGGACTTCGAAGTTTTGATGTCATATTCTCTATTGGTGACTGCAACTGACGGAGATTTAAATTCTCCTAAATCATTAGGTGTTAACTTGACAGTAACGTTGCGTGACGAGAATGATAACGCACCAATGTTTAGTCCCACTCTGTATAGCGTGACAATTCCTGAAGATGCGGCTGTGTTTACTAACATATTGAATCTGACATGCGCGGATGCTGATTCTGGTACGAACGGACAGTTTCTTCTGGCAATAACGTCAGGTAAACAACTCCTTACACATTTCAGCGGAAAACCAATTACCGGTACCTTTAAAGTTCCTGGTGCCAGCCGATTAAGTGATTTGTTCTATTTCAAAAGAGATTAACCGGCTCATAACAGCTTAAAATAGGTGTGTTTGTGTTTGTTTGTTTGTTTGTTTGTTTGTTTCGGTAGGTGTAGGTTATATCGGTTAATGGTGACTTAACATACCATAACTTCTAATGAATACTCGTAGATGCACTCTTTGCAACTATCTCTATAATTGAATAAAGGCTGATAGTTTCTAAAGAAACTGTTTAGGGCTGCGTCGGTGGGGGTAACGAAATAATTTCAATATATCAACAAAGTTGAAATGGTAAATTGGCCACCGTTACGATTATAAAAGCTGACGTTTCGAGCGTTAGCCCTTCGTCGGAGCGAATAGAGGAATTGTGGGTTGCGTGTGCTTTTAAAGGCAGAAAATGGAGCTACGTGATTGGTGGGA